ACCACTATCCCTTTACATCTGAGTATACCTGACGTGGAAAGCCAATCCTTTGTATTCATTTCCTTTCCATTTTATAAAAAAGTGCAGCGTAATTTGTGGCTTTTCTCCCAGTATTAAGCTAGTGATTTACACAACATTTTCTTTAAAAATATTCAAAGGGTTTTTTTTGTGGTTTGTGGGCTTTTTTTTTTTTTTTTTTGCTATTATTTACATATTCAGTAACAAATATATGAACATAATGGTAAGGCCAAGGCAGTTTAAAGTTACCAAATAACTTTGTTACCAATAAATAATAAAGTTACCAAACTACTCGTATCTTGTGCAGTAATGGAGAAAGTACCCTTTAAAACTTCCCATTCCTGTCAATGTCTGAACTCATTTATGTGCCTTTGCTGAGCACCCTGCAAACATCTGAAGCATAGACTTTCACGCGTGCTTAAAAGGGGTCTTGTCTGGAGAATGAGGAGCTGTTTTGTGACTATATTCAGATATTTAGAATGCAGATGTGTTTGCCTAAGCTCCTGCTCTGCTTAGCGTGTGAGTTCAATTTAAACTGTTTGGAAAATCAACTAAAAAATGGTGGTGCCCTGTGTGCAGTATTAGGTTGCCCAAAGCTGGCAGCTGTTATTCATTACAGAGGAGCCAGGCAATTTCATTCATTTTGTATATTAGTAGGACCTGGTGCACTTTGAGAACCTGTTGATTTAAGTCTCCTCTTAGTGTGAAAGTTAAGATGAACTTATACCTGCCAACATCCAAAATATTTAATTATGGGATGTCCCTCCCTCGCTGCTTGAGCAGACAGATACAGAAGTAGCATAAAACTGAAATGAAAGGAGCCTAGTAGAGGGTTGATATTCTACAGATTAGGAAACTGCAAATATATGGTCTAATCTGTATTCCTCTAGGGTTCTTATTTTTAATTCAGCGCCTATTTAGTGTAAAATGTGAACATACTCAGGAGCAGGAATCAGAAGCTATGTTTTCCTTCCTCGTAGCAAAATATTCTAATCATTGGACAAGAGAAACAGGATCTTCTACCTCTGTTTTCCTTAGGAATGGAAATTTACCCTGAGGCAGACAATCCATATACTGCCAGTTTGTAGGGCATACATTTATCACAGGGACAGAGAATGTCTGAGTGAGGGAAGAAACCACTGAATGGTGCACGTGGGAAATTACACATTGTTGCCACTCACAGGAGATAGAGACTTTGTCATCTTCATAAAATTGTCTCTCTATGTAATGGACTGTCACTACCATTAGGAATTAACCAGATATGAGAGGTCAAAATAAATTTTTATTTTTATTTTATCTTATGTTGAGAGTAGTGGCTGCACCTTTGACAAGAAATTCCCCATCTCAAGAATTTAGAAATAAGCAGAATGAAAAATACAAGAATAAAGCAGGACAATTGTATTGAGCTTCAGACATATTGAAATTAAAGATGAAATTTTCCAATGTAAAAACTTCAGGGAGAAAGAGATATTGTAATGCTTATTTTTCTTTATGAATCCATGTTAACTTAGGATATAAACTTTTTTTTTTTAACAACTGTTTGTGTGATACTGGTTTATCCAAATACATTTGAATAACTGTTTTCCAGATGCCTTAAGATAGCCTATAAAATCTATATTAATTTTCATTATGCTCATGGAAATGTATTTTTATTTTTCTTGTCTCTTAATATCTATACAGGCCATTTATTCACCATATTTTAGCTTTCTGCAGCAATATTTTAATATTTTGCCCAAATCAAAATAGGATCCTCCTATAAGTCACAGTTTGATTTATAGAGTTTAGATGCTGTAAGTCTTAAGCAGCACAAAATCTTGTCTATCAGACTATGTTTTCCTGAACAGAACTCTTCATTAAGTTCAAAAGCAGAAGGTTGCCTTTCATGTTAATATTGCATTATTGAGCAAATAAACATGGTCATTTTTTTTCAGTTTTAAAGTGTGCTAAGCCTGTATTTACCTGAATGTTTTCCAACTTTCTTTTGCTTTAGTGTTCAAAGTATTCTTAATATTGGTTACTGATTATATACACATTCTATGCTCAATCAGTTTGGATCATTTCCCGTGGTATCTAAATCTTTCTTAGCGTCTGCCTCTCCCATCAATGCCTCATTCTCAGTTTTGAGTGACTAATGTTTAAATTATTACTAGTTGCATCTTGTCTTAGTGGTTAGTGCTTGTGCTTTTTAATTAATATTATTTGAGCATCTGCCCCTAAGACTCTCACTAGCAATTTAAGGACTCATCTGCAGGAAAAAGTTAACACTTCCATTCTGTAGTTAGAAATAGGTTGGAAGAAGCAGGAGGTTTGCAAACCAAAAAGCCTTTTCATATTTATTAGTTTCAGACACGGAAAGAGTTTGTAACTAAATACACTTTCTTCGTGCTTTAGAAATGGTGCATCTACTTGGCTGCTCAACAAGACTGTTTATAAACTAATTGTAGTTTGTGAAGTTCAGTCTGACTCAGTTCCTGTACAGATTCTGAGATTTTCTTGCTGAGAAAATTGTGGAGTGTTGAATAACATTTTTTAGACAATATAAAGCCAGGTAGCAACATTACTTTGGAAATGAATAAGCACAAGCTGGGAGAAATTGAATGAAAAACATTTCTTGCACAGACACAATGCCTGGCTTGTAATTAGTGGTCCTCAGATGATGGCCATTGGACATCCATTAGTATAGACAGAAGCTGTTAGTGTGAGGACCGGAGAGGCCATAATGATACTGATTGTTTTTCTGAGGCATTCTACGTCACCATAGTAAGGACATATCTTCAAATTACTTTTATTGTCACTGTATCCTTGGCCTTTCCAGACCCAAGAACAAATGATGTTACTCCAAAGTATGTATAAATTTACATTTTACGGGCAAGAATATTTTCTGATGGGAAAAGAGCAACTGAAGCACAGCTCAGTTTCACAAACTTACTTGCTTCATTTAAGACTAAGGCTGGCTCAGAAGACCTCCAGAAATTGCCTATCATTTGAGGCGTGTCCTACACTGGCAGTATGCTTTGTTTGGGGATGCTTTCGCTGCCTGATAGAGCTTATGCAGGCCGTAGTTTCTTAGATTCCTGTATTTGCTGAGAATGAGGTTGGCATGTATGTGCAGCTTAGTGCAAAATTTGAGCCTTTTGCTTAACATATTTCTCAGTTCATGCACACAGTCATGCTGAAATATATAGATACATATTCATTTCTAGAGGAAGTTTGGGGCATCCCAGTTCCATGCTCCTTTATATTTTGCATTTTCAGGAACTCTCCAGTTCATTATAGCTGTATCATAAGTCTAGAAGAGTAGAAAAAGAGTAGAAAACAAGAATCCAGAAATCTCCCCCCCCTGCATGTAAGTGGTGGTTGATCTGGAAGAGGTAATTGTAATCATTTCAAGTTTAACTACGTAAAGTAATAATTACATATTCTTTATCCCTCTCCTATTTTGCTTCTAAATAGACTGGCTAGTTCATATTGCCACACTTTTTTTTATTCACAATAGTAAAATGAATGTTGTACGGAAAAAAACAAACAGGTTTCTTTAAGGTAAGTTTGATTTCTTGCTTGGTTATTTATGGTTTGACCCAAACCTCACCACAATCCTGAGACAATTGCATGAGTTGTACTGTACCGGGTTTATGAAGCTAAAAACATCAGGCTGATGAATCTTTTCCTAAACTGATGGTTAAAGATGTTCTTGTATGCCGTTTTGGCTTACTAGTGGTTTGGTTTTTTTTTTTCTTCTTTCTCCCACTACCAGGAGGCATTTTTGAATGTGTGGAATCTGGTCCAATGGGAGCAGAAGAATTAGCCTTCAGATTTGCTGTGAACACAATCAACAGAAACAGAACCCTTCTGCCAAACACCACATTAACATATGACACCCAAAAGATAAATCTCTATGACAGTTTCGAAGCATCCAAAAAAGGTAACATTTTGCATATTTAATTTTTTTAATGAGAAACTAAGACTGGCTTGGTTTACCTACCTGAAAAAATGTCTGTCCAATAAAGCCATATGCAATGAGGCTGTATAAAGTTGTGGTTGACATCAAAGAACTGCTTTAACAACCACCGCTTGAAGGCTGTAATGGCAACTGTTTGAAAATTACATTGTCACCTTTGCTCCCACTGTCCCTGTCTAAAAGTTATTTCTTTAAATATTTAAAATATGAAATAAATTTTTCTGACCTTTGTGACTAGGGTATTTTTGAGACCAGCTGCTTTGGAATGAGAAAACATTATCTCCAGATATTTCCCTGGAAAATGTCGAGTGCCCCCAAATTCTAGTGAACTTGGAAGAATGATACAATTCAATTTTAAACATTTGATCACTTTAAGTATATCTCCACAAATACCTTTAGCATATGAATGTCTCACATACTTAATCAGGTATGGGCTTCAAAGGGGAGTAAGTAGTTGTTTTGGGCAACTTATATCAATGAGATATAAAAAAAAAGCCTAAATATCAAGTCCACATAAGAATATTGCTATCAAGGGAATGTCTAGGCCTGAGTTCAGCAGTTTTCTTCTGATTATAAATTATTTGTTTGAAGAAAAATTAAAAGTTAAAAATAATTTTGAACATTTTTCCTAAATTTTCAAATCTTTGATTCTCTCAAATATTGAAGTTTTTAGGTTTCTTTACATTCAAGACTGTGACAATAGATGCCAGTTGTACTGCATCATTGCTATACCCTAGAAAGTACAAACCCCAACAAGTTCAATACCTATTTACAGGAGAAAATACAAAGCCTCATGTCAGAACTCAGCAGGACTGAATTTTGCACTATGTTACAGTTCTTTAAAAATGTTTTTAATTTTTTTTTTTTTATAAATTGAAGACCCAATTTCATATCAATGTTGTCCTTAACAAGAAGATAAGAAAGGTGAAAGAGTCAAAAGTCAACCTGTTTTTCTTAGCACAGGTTTCTAGCCTAAATTTGCCAAGTGATCTGATCGCAAGGTGCCACTCCCAAGTGTTGAAGACTGAAAGCTTTACACAATAAGCGATTTTTGGTTTTCTAGTGGACTAAAATGAATAAAAACATTTGATGATACATTAGAAATGCTACATAGGAAAAAGCTGCTGTGTCAGAATGGATGTACATGAAGTATATCTTGAAAGTGGAATATAATACAGATTAAAAAATTCAGTTCAGAAATTATGAGAAACATACTTTTTCTCTTTTGCTGTAACACACAGTTAATCCTGCTAGCTTGTTTTATTTGTTTATTTGCTAAATAAACAATCCTAATATAGGCTGTTGTTAGGTATGAAAATAAATATTATCCATATTTGTACAGAAATACAATTTGGTCATTGTAAGATGCTTTGATTTATGAAAAATATTATGGGCTAAATATTTATGCCTAGCAAGATGGTTTCTTTGTGGAGGAAAGTCTGTGGAAGAAGGAGGCAAGGAATGCTTTTAACAAAGTGTTTTTGAGTTGTTATTCTGTCTTTTTGGATGGTGGATTAAAGCAAATTCTGAGAGACTACTCTTTCCTTCCTATCTCAGCCAACAGTGAATGAATGGGCTGATCCTTAATTCTGGCCCCTTCTTTCTCCTTTCCTCCTCATCTTCCAAATTCAACTGCTTCCTGACTCTAGTGCATGCTGTCTTGTGAAATTTAATGGGACAGCATTTCTCCGTTCCTGAGGGAGGATGTAGAGAGCAGAGAAATTTGTTCTGCAATCTTTAAATCTTTAAGCCTTTCCTGAGACAACACAACTGCTTTTAGTCCTTACTTGGGGTTTGCTTGATGGTGCAAGAGAGCCTGAATATTATGTTGCTAATTCTTGATAGCCTGTAATAGCTGAAGTTAGAATGGCAACATGCCATTGATTGGATACATTGAATAGATTGTGTATATTCATTGTTCCCCCTTGCATCTTGGATGAGAATGCAACTCTTTATTTGTAACTGGTCAGGCTGTATCAAAATCTGTGTAATCTTCCAGTGCTAACAGCTTTTTGCTTTATCAATTCACATTACAGCCAACTGCATTTGTGCTGACAGGTGCTTTAGTTCAGAATCAAAGGCTAAAGGTTAACATAAAATGGTTCGTTTTATTATGATGGCTCCAAAGCAGAGTTTTAACAATGAGGTTTAAGCATTTGACTCATTTTTGTGGTTCATGATTATGTCCATTAATGAATCGCCAGGCTCTGCATCACAAATAGCCTGTTTAGACCTCTCAGTAACACATACTTTTGAAGTTGAATATAGATGAAATATTAATGGATTTTTAAAGGTACTATATGCAAGAGCAACCTGAAGGCAAGATGATATTTCCAAGATAACGTTTCACTGAAGAATAATGTAAATGCAAACAAAATATCCCTGAATGCACTAGAAAAATTGGTATGCGTCTGATAGAGCCAGTGCCATATTAAATCACGTGTGAAAGCATTGCATTATTCAAATCTCAGAAACAGGAAAAAAAAAAAGCCCATTGAAAAGCCATCTGGTAGCTATTGCTGTTGTTAGTGATCCCATTTACTGACATTTGCATAAAGCTTGTTGATTACTCTTAGGAAGGGCAATATTAGCATAAATGTTTTTTTATCAAGCTAGTCATTTAGGCCCTGATCCGACGCTTAGAAACGCAATGGAGATCCTGTGTGTATATGAGAAGTTCATTTAAACCACCAATGCTCTGTGGTAATAAAAAGGTGTGCCAGCATAGTTTCTGGAATGCACTTGAAAGACTTAGCAATATTTTCATCATGTCGAAAAGGATGTGCATAATAAAACAATTTATTTTGACTTACTGAGAAAAGTAATGCAGCAAGTTGTCATTCTACTGCCTGTTTCCTCAGCTGTCAGGAACATTGGCGGTGGAGTAACAATATTAATTAATCAAACCTCATACAAATACATCTACATTGGATTAGGGAGATACTTTTCATTACTTCTCTCTACCAAATAGGGTGTTTTCTTAGAAGACAGAATCTGTCTTTTTTCAGAACCGGTAGTGATCTAAAAAGGAGCAGGGTATGGGCTGAATCACAGGACCAATTTTCCTGCCTTCTTTTTGGCATGTCCCAACTAACGTTCTGCAAGATAATACTGGAATGTACTGCGGGAGATATACAGATCAGAAACTGCTGATGCACAGTACAGTTAGGGCTACCCTATATTTGAAAGAGGAGAGCTAAGCTACTTAAATGCAGCAGTATCATAGCAGTGACTCTCAGGGCCAGTTTTATCTACTAATACAAGTGTAACAAAACTGAGTTTTTCCAGTGTTTAAGAAGGGACACTGAGTTTTTTTTTTTTTTATTAGAAGATAGTAATTTAATTTTCTTTTAGGGAAAATGTTGACCTTTACATTTCACTAGTCAACACGCCTGCTTTTCATTAAATTAATCATTTGGCTGATACTTAACTAGAATCCACTTAACATGTACAATTTCTGAGTAATTAGAATCTCAGTAGAAATAGTGTTGATTGATTGAGGAAGAAGTTAACGCTTAAACAGCCTAGGTTAGAATACTGTCCCGTATGGCCCTTTTCCAAATATAAGATGCAGCTGAGCATAAATCTCTCCTCTTGTCAGTGCTTTTTAAAAGATACACAATTGCTGGCCTTTGTGACTTCCACTGACATAGAAGTGTTTATTAAACATAGCTGTTTCGATGTTAAGTGCTGCTATTCATCAGCTCATAGTCAAAGGCTGGAAATGTATTCTGAAGTTGAAATCTGTGTAAGTGAAAGTGTTTCATGAGAAGGGAGCTCTGTCCGCAATACAGTTATATTTCATGGAGTGCCTTTTGTTTAATGTGAATTGTGCAATACCTTCTGGCACACTGCCTTCTTTCCTCTCATCATTGACAGACTTCTGTCTCCTATTCAGCCTGTGATCAGCTGTCCCTTGGGGTGGCTGCCATCTTCGGACCATCCCATAGCTCCTCAGCTAATGCTGTGCAATCCATCTGCAACGCTTTGGGTGTTCCACATATCCAGACCCGCTGGAAACATCAGGTGTCAGACAACAAGGACTCCTTCTATGTCAGCCTCTATCCAGATTTCTCTTCACTCAGCCGTGCCATCCTTGACCTTGTGCAGTTCTTCAAGTGGAAAACAGTTACTGTTGTTTATGATGACAGCACTGGTAAGGCGAAAGCTTTAGACTATGTGCAGATATATTCATGTGTACAAAGAGAGGGAGGAGGGGTGTCACTACTCGTATTTCTTAATTTAAGAAATCTTAACTAAATTACAAGAATTTCTGTTGGCAAGGTAGTGTACAACAAATAATGTGGATTTATTAGCATAAGTGTTCTCATAAGTATGCTTCAGTTGCTGAAATCTGCATTTGAGCTCACAGCTGTAAATAAATCAGTGACTCTATCTGTTTGCTGCACTGTTGTAACAATTACTAACAGCTATGTATTTTGACTTTATTTAAAACTTAAATTTTGAAGAAAAATATGGTAACTTGAAAGATATACTAGTATGCCTGGTGAAACAGAAGACCTAAATTTTAATGCTGCTTCTAGTATTACTTAAGTTAGAAAACAGATGCCATACTTGTTTGGAATTTCAGTATCTGCTTTTTTCAGAGAGAATTGCAGAAAGAGCCATGGTTTTAGCCTCTAGGAACTGAAAGCAAAGGAAGTTTGGAGGCCTGTTTTGCAGCTGAGTTACATGAGTTAAAAATGAATTCCTGACTTTCCAGCAGAAATGTACCCATTTGCTTCCTGTCCCTTACCTCACCCTGAAATTTTTTTTGCTCTTCTGTTTTGCCTTGACAGTGACATCTTTGAAAAATGTTTTGAAAACTTAAGTTTTATTTGAGGTCTGTCTAGTGGAAGGTCAGAACTAAGACCTTGGTAAACAGAAAATCTGACTGTAATGGGAGATACAAAGAACATACTTAGGCAAACGAGATATATTTAATCTTCTTGGAACTGTTGCTAACTTCTTCCATGCTGGTTGAACGGTCATTGGCAAGAAAAAATCATGGTGAGCCTTAAACCCTTCACATGGTTCAGTGAACTGGAAGATTGTTGATACCCTTGTTACATAATGCTACTACCTATCTAAATGTGAAATAGAAAAAATAAGATCAAGAAACAATGTGTTACATGTGAGGCTACCTGTAGTGAAGACTAACTCTGCTAGATAAACAGCAGTTACAACAGGACAGAATGCCTAATTACTATTTAAGTTCAGATAGGATGTATGTATAGCTTTCAAAAGGTGAGAAAGGAACAGTCAGAAATGGCGGTGCATAAAATTATTTATGACTGATTTTTTTTTCTTCATGCCTTAAAAAAACCAACAAAAAAAAAAGGAAGGCAATGAGGTCTAGAGGCTGCCTCTGTAAAAATTTTTTGGCTGATGTCACCAAAAGCCTCAGGCAATCAAAATCCTTATTTCAAGTTTAGCTTTACAGACTTAAGACAGGAAATATGTAGCCTGTTTATTAATGGCTTTTGATATTTTTTGTGTTAATTTTCTGAAATAGGACAGGAAGTAAAAAAACCCCAAAATTTTAATTAGGTGATGACTGAAAAAGTAATTAGTGCTTCAGTGAAACTGTTATGGACTTAGTTTTACATAAATTGGAACTATTTCACTTTGATTTAAATAATTTGTAGACTATTTTTGCCATAGACAGGTTACCTTGTAAAACAGGCCTTTCAGTTAGAGAAGGCATGTGTTTTAACACTTTGAAATTGCTTTGCTCAATATTTTCAAGTAACTTTCTCCTCCCCTACAAAAAAAAAAAAAATTAATAAAATGTTAACTAAAAGAAATATTTCATGTTTAATTGGCTCGCTAAACTCCATGTTTTCTGAAAGAGGTATGTTGTTAACAGTCATACTAGACCTGATCTTTTCATAAAGTCAGGATGTAAGTAGACATAGGAATGAAGATGGAAAAGAATTTTTTCTTGTGTATGTTGTGATCTACCTGTGACTATTGTAAACATTTAAGAGAAAAAAAAGAAAACATGAGCTCTTTTTAAATAAAATTGAAATAAATATGACAATGAATAAGGAGATTGAGGAATATAGTTTATTTAAAAAACGTAAAGAATTATTTCAAGAAATATTAACTTTAAATTTACATTTCTTTCTGGAGTGGCTAGACCCTTCATATTATGATACTGGTTGTTTCTGCTGATAAACAGTAATCCCAGCTACATCATCTTTTTTTTTTTTTTCTTGAAATCTGTTGCTCTCTGAAGAGACAGAAAAAAGAATAAAAAGGTAGTCCTCTCTCTTTTTTTGTGGCCTTTGCTGTACGTAAATCTAAATTGTACTTTAAGACTGTCAGTTTCTATTTGTTAGTAGCATCTACTACGGATAATTCAAAGACTTCAAAAGCAGGATACACTGCTGGGATGTCCACAGCATCACTTGCCTTTGAAGTACATACAGGAACAACTCTAAGCTATGAGAAACTGTCAATCTTTAAGAAGTAGAGTTTAAATCTTGTTAGAGCTCAACTGCAAGCTAGTGTTTTTTGAGGCAAGGAGCAGGGGAACAGGAACCTTTTGAAAGGAAGTAGTTACTTCAGCTGAGGAAGAAGTTATCTCCTGCCATGGCATAAGATAAATATTCAGTTTTTAACCTAGGGCTGAAGCTGAATATGATAGTTTCAACTAATATTTGGAAAATGTGTTGTAAGACTTTTTGTGTCATTTAAGACAATTTCAAATCCATTAAAATGAAACCTACAAAGACAAAACCTTTATAACTGTTTATATCTGTTTCTTCCATTTGGCCAGTTATTCCTTGATATAAGTTGGATATCATTCTTATTTGCCTCCTCTGTTCATCTTTTAATCACCCACATTTTACTCTTTATTGAAAAGTTGTTTAGCATGATAATGCATGTCTTATGTGATGATAATTTTAGTGTTATGGATTTCCTTTATTTGAATGGACAATTCCCAAAAGTACGCCCTGGTCAAGACAATCATGTGTTGGTATAGCAGTTACAGTGATAATTTTTTAATTGCTAGAATTGATATTTTTTGGGGGACAAATCTACTTTATGTATTTCTATTATAACTTTATAAACATGGATACAAGGAGAGATGATACTTGTACTACAGAGAGGAAGAACAGGTAAAAAACATGCATAAACTATGTCTGGATTCTTCTCAAGGTAAATTATGGAGAGCTGCCCTTATGCCAAAATCCTGGAAGATTATAGGTCCATTCTGAGGGAAAGTACTTTTTAATTTTTTTTATTTTTAAAAATATTTTAATTATTAGGGTGGTTTTATGAATTCTCTAAGGAATTGTTAAAGTTTTACTTCTGTTATAAAAGAAAGATTCCTCACCCACTTCAAAGCATTCCAATAACAGCTGTGTCCATGTTCTTCATTCCTTCAGTAGGGGATATGTCTTCTTGAGTAAACACAAATGGAAAAGGCTGTGCAGTTATTTGACAATTTGCAGTCAGTAAAAGCCCATATGAACTCTAGTGTCATTCCCAGGAATGCACTGGAGACTGATACTTCAAGCGCACACTTCAGCTGCCTCTTGACAGCACCATTGTGTCTGATTGTATGCAATCCACCACACTCCTATCTTATAGGAAGGAAAGCAAGTTGTGTGACTGACAGATAGCAGAATGTTTCCCTGATGCTACATGAGGCACTCTACATAAGTGCAGATGCAGTCTTCCATAGTGTTTTTGTGTGCCTTTCAATCCTTAGTGTAGCTGCCTTCACAACATCCATATGATAAGTGCAGAATAGACTACCACCACTTGTATCTGATCTGGATCCAATTTGATCTGAGACTGTGTGATACGAATGTGGTACAGAGGCAGTCAGTCTACGTTTAGAACCCGTTTTGAAATAGGAGAAATTTGGAATCCCAGGCTCCCTTGGCAATAATGAACACCTGGATGTCTAAAAGATTACCACAAAGAACAGCCATTATTGGTTTGTCTTCATCATTGAAGTATTCTCCTCATATTCTCTGTGGAGGAACAGCTGTACATCTTGCTACTAATTTGAGAAAGGACATAAAAGAAGTTGTTTTTCATGCACTATGCATAGCAACTAGACCCTGCCCCAACCCTTCCCAGCTTTATGATGAATAAATGGCTAAGTCAGAGAAGATTAACCTATTGACTCTGACTATTGCTCCTCATGTCAGTCTGGACCTCAGAACACTGCGTTGTTCTGTGCTGATCAGACCTGTCTCATATGTTCAGGAGCTTGTAATGAGGTAAACAGGCTAACTTCGCACAGGAGAAAATGGAGGTTGTGTCATGCTGAAATAGAAACAGAGATGCTTCTAAAGGGTCACTAACAGTGGAGAGAGCAAAGATCAGGTTGAATACAGCATAATAAGGAAGAGTCAAAACTCTACAAATAGGATGAAGTAGACGAATAAACTAGAAAAGTTAATTCTATCTTGTCTCAGTAAGAAGAGATGCAGTCTGTTATGGTGGGGATAAGGTAATAGAAATAAAAATTAACATAGAATGGACAAAAGTTTTACTACTATAATAAAGCCTTCTGCCCTGGTAGTATTTTTATGGAGAGGGTGTTGTGGCGGTATGTAGATGAGTCTGTTCTTTCAGGGAAGAAAAAAAATGTGCGAGTCCTTTTTCTGTGAATCTCTGTTTGAATACTCCTGCATCTGACTTTTTTTTTTTTTCCCTTTAAATAATAGTTATATTCTGCTTCATTCTATGATTTAATTTTTCCCTTTATTTTGGCTCTCAAGACTTTTTTTTTTTTTTAATATAGTCTATCTGTTGTACAGATCAAAAGTTGGAATGAGGCTCTAGAACATTTTTCTTGCTAGTCTGAAGATAAGTATTGCTTTCTGTGGTCATTCTAAATGGCAAAGTATATTCCTTTTAACTAGAATTTCCCATTAAAAAAAACTTAGCAAGATGTAATGAGAAGTTGGTTAGTTTTTTGGGTTTTTTTTCTCCCTTAAAGTAATTTATTGTCTCTTTGTTAATTAAATACCACTAAACTGTCCCTGGATACTAATTAAGTCCTTTCAGATTTACAGACTTGTTACAGTCAATTGTCTTTAAGAAAGAAAAGTGGAAAAATGGCAGCATGCTCATCAGCTGCATGTCTTAATGGTTTTAATTGGTCTCAAAACAGTAACTTGATTTTAA